CCCCCCCCCCCCCCACCCCAAATAGGTTTTTAGACAGTAGATCTGGGTTAGAACTCTGGAAGGGATTGTTGACTAGATGGAACTGATTATAATGTTTAATTAATTAAAAACAATTTTAACAAGTCCCCTTGGATAAATAGAGTTGCTTTTGATCACTGGTTATGCTGAAAGGAATTTTGAGCAATATTAATTGTCAATATATGTGACTATACTCTAGAGTTATAATCAAATCATCTGCTTTATCTGTTGCTTATGATCATTGGCAGACTCATGTAGTTCACACCATTTACTAGTTAGATATAAAACTATTCTTGTGCTTTCACCCAAGTCTTTAAGCTTTTGGGATAATTGGTTATAGTAGAATTTGGATTTAGGACCTAATTCAACCTCTCAAAAAATCGAATTTTAAAATAAAGATTTTTCAAGTTTATAAGAATTACTTACACCTTATTTCTAGATGATATGAAATTATTTCCACCCCATCACACTTATCACAATAAAGGTGCACGATTTTGCAAATTGAAGCAGACCAAGGGTGTCTGCAATTGAGGCGACTTTGAACATGTTATGATATCATATTAGAGCCTCTATGATCATATTCATATCGTCTAGATTTTAATCCTTGTTACCTCTTCTAAATATAAGTTAAATTTCGGCTCAAGGTAGGTTGGGCGTGTCTTGTCCAAACTTCAAGCCATAAGGGCTTTAGTGTGAGGGGCATGTTACATATAGAACCATTCATGTGTTCTCACCCAACAATTCATGACATGTATGCATGAAATCTAAACATGTGTAGTTGGTAAAAGACTTCAATGGACCATTATACCAGTGTTTGAGAATCGAAGACTTCCATTGTATCAAGGACCATCTTTCTTATAACCTTGAGCTATTAGGTGAAGACTGTGCATTGCATATGGTAGAATTTAACAAAGCAATTAATAAAAGGTCAGAGGAATGTCATCAAGTATTTTGTGGAGGAGCCCTTTCTATAACTGTACTATGAGAGTCAGCATACCATGTTTCTTGCTCATTTTTCCCTATGGATAAACCATGGCTGGTATTGTAGTTTCTGAAGTGGTTATATGGAATTGTCGCAGGGTTAGTTTTGAGCTGGAACCTGGAGCTGTTGGGCAAACAACTGATTTTAAGGAAGCAAATAAGAGGCTAGAATGGAGTTTAAAGAAGGTCAGATTTCTTGTGGTTTCTCAAGTTTTTTTTTTGTGTGCGCGTGTGTGCCATTTTGATTCAGGTCATTGTTTTTTTCTGGAGAAATGGTCACTCATAAGTGCTATGAAACAGATTGTCGGGGGATCTGAGCATACTCTACGTGCAAAGCTAACCTTTTCACAGGAATCACATGGTATTTATGCTTATAGTTAGTGCTTGCACAAAATGGACAGTTTGCTTTATCTTTGGTTGAGTGATTGATGTATCATATTTGTTCAAATTTATTTCTTGACAGTTAATATAACGAAAGAATCTGGACCTGTTAGCATGACATTTACTATACCAATGTATAACGCATCACGGCTTCAGGTAAAGTAATCAAGTCAATTTGCTGATTCGTTTCTAGTTCTGATTTGACCGAAAACCTTTCCTCTATCAAACTTCTGCTTCCCTGGTAGATTGATTTGATGGTGCTCAGTCCTAGATCTCCTTCGAACTGTTTGTACTAAACATTAGTCTCATTAGATGCATTACTGTGATTCTTGTTCTCTATTTTGTCATGTGGGTTCTATTTGCCGTTTTTGTGCAGCCATGTTGCAAAACATGGCCATGCTAGACTAGTTGTCAGCTATCCCTGAACATGCTATAAAATTCCTCTTGATAATAATAATAAAATCAACGTCTATGCAAATGTCATATCGTCTGTTAGAAATACTAGCGGTACCACCCCTACTTTTGAGCACCAGCCTACCCCGTGTTTCTCAATCAGGTTGGAGAAACAGACACGAAGTTCTGGGCCAGTAAAATTTGTTGTATTTCTTAATCAGGTTGTATTTCTTTATATTGATTGAGAAATCAAATTTATGGGTATTAAAAACCATTTTAGCAGACCATCTACATGTGTTGAGCATTGCATAATCGAAGTTCGTTTGATTATTCCGGTAAAATGAAAGTTTCGTTTGAATGTGCTAAGTGCTTAATAAATTGTCTGATTGCAGGTAAAGTATTTGCAGATAGCAAAGAAATCTGCAACGCATGAGCCATACCGATGGGTTAGATATGTTACACAAGCAAATTCCTATGTCGCTCGTTTATGATGCCGTTAAGAACACTGTCGTCCTCCATCCTCTTGCTCTATATTACACATGCTTTGTTTTATTGACTTTATTCTTTATTTGTAAATTACATTCTAAGTCGAATATAGAAGACGTTAGTAGTTTGCCTTGTCGTTCATTACAATTTACACATGCACAAGCTGGTCATACAACATGCATGAATTACATCACTTTCCATCCGATAAAGGATCACTCAGTTTTATTTGTGTTTTCAATATACACTCTAATGGAACCTCATCTTGGACATAAGGTTTAAAGGGGAGATTGTCTGTTGACTAGGTCTATCACTATGCATGTGACTGAACAGTTCAAAAATTATTTTGCACTTTAATATAGTTTTTTAATCCAAAGGTTATCTCTGGAGCGGAGCATTTTGGTTAACTGACGTAGGTTTAAGACTTTTGGCTCGTTGTTTTTCCTATTCGTTGGTGGATGTGACAACTTGGCCTTTGACACATCCCTTGTCATAACCCTATTTTTTGTCAGCCCATTAAGCCCCCAACTCACACTATCCACAAAAAGAGGGGTTGGGGCGAGGGTCACAGACAAAAACACGTACAGAAATAGACTCGTCCCTCCCTCCCATGTGGTTGTTGAGCGATGCCATAGAAGGTCGTAGATGTCGTCTGAGAAGTCAGGCGGTGTGCAGGTCGTACATGAAAATTGCTAATTTTTGAACTGACTTATAATTCTTTTTTTTTTTTTCGAATTGTTACACACATCAATAAAAATTAATAAATCAAAGAAATAATAATTTTATAAAATTATTTTTATAATTAGTCTTGTTTATTTAAAATAATAATTATTTTCTAAAGAATATTATAAAAGATACAAAAAGAAAAAAGACAATTAATACTACATTGAAAAATTAATGATATTATTTTGATATTTTTTTTCTTTTAATTCTTAATATGTAAATTTTATTTTTCAAATGACAATTATGAGAGGTATCACTCAAAATTAACACTAAAAATAACAACTCCAAAACTTTGTACCCGAATATGTGGAAGTTGAAATGTAGTGACCAGCTTTGGAATCAAAAGATAGGGAGAGAGCAACAATGATGCAGTCAGTTGTGTATAATGGGAAGCTGTGGTGCATACGTGGCAGAGAAAGAGAGGGAGGGAGAATGAGAGCTATCGGTGTGGAGGTGTTCTATGCAACCACCATTAGAGACTGCAGACACAGTGGCACCACCTTCTATTCCATCTTAAACTTTTCTTTGTTTGATTTTTTTCCTTTTTATTTTTCGTTTATTTATTTATTTTTATCTTTGGTGGGGCTGATGATGTTTCAATTTGGGTTAGAACTTAGAATGGGTTTGTCAATAAAATGACCATTAGCAATGAGTTTTTATTGTAAGCGTCAACTTTTGGTTGATGCTAATAATATCCGTTTTTAAAAGTATTTTTATTGTGGCTTTTAATAACTAAAGTCCAAATCAAATGCCATCTTTGATTATTTAATAAAAAATAAAATTTTATGTGATAAGTTTTTCCTTCTAGAAATTGCAATAATTACTTTGAAAATGTTAAGAATAAAAGTCGCCAACACAGTAAATTAATCATGTCAAACATGACCACCTTTTTTATATTTTATTTCATACAACGAGAAATGTTACTTATATAATAAGTTGTAAACCAATTTGCATAATTAAGATAAAAATAAACCACTAACGTAGCATCGGCTTTCCATTTCTATATCCAAATCGATCTCAACTTAGGTTACATGAAAGAGCAAAATTCATTTTAGACTTTTAGATGCCCAATCATGCATCGCAATATTTTTATGTTTTTATTTTCCTTTCTAAAAATGGCTAATATTTACGGTGATACCATACCGGTACACTTCTTTCACTAATCATTACTGTCTATTATGGCGGCTGTAAGCTTTGGACTATTTCATCAACTTATGAAGATAAGTCAAGATTTGTGTTTGACTATTAAATAATACAAATGTAATTTTGTTTCAATGAATCATGATTCATTATTGATAATCAAATGTACTTAAATATTTAAATTATGTTTAAATAAAATATATTTATATTTTTAAGCCTGTAATTTTCTTATAAAATTAATTTTAATTAAAATAATTTTATAAAATTACGTTTACTTTTTAGTAATAATCAGTCAACAAATACAGGTTTAGAAAATATTTTTTTTAGCTCATCTAGTTCCTACAAGTTCCCTAGTGCAATAAACAACTTAGAGTTACTTAATTCATTTAAGTTTGTGAATTAGTTAATTTTATTATTAAATATAAAAACTTTTAGAATTCTTGAGTTGTTGTAACTCATACATCTTAAAAATAAAGTTAAAATAACAGTTATATCTATGACATTAAATTGTTATAACTTGTATATGAAAACTTTAGAATTAAAAATAAGTTATATATAACTATTTTTTTTCTCTATATTCTACCTAGATAAAATTGGGTATTCAAATTCATGATACCAAATATTGGAAGTTTTAGTGTTGACACCGTAAAAATAGAAAGAGTATGCCAAATATCGTAAGATAAAGGTCGTGATCAAACATATCTTCAACAATACAAGTATGGTAGGTCAATACACAAGTTTGCATTTACATGAATAAGGTAGAGACTTAAGATTGATCGGCAGTTAGGGAAAGAGACCAACTAAAAACACCAATGAGAAACTGTAACCAAAGTGACAACTAGCTATAAATGTCATGTTGACGATGAAGGCTGGAAATTTTCTGTTTGAATGGAAATTTTAATAAAGTAATTTAATTTTTTTTTAAGAATTTCAAATATTTTGAGGTCAAATACTTTATTTGGATGGAAAATTTACAAAAAATTTAAAATTAAAATATTTATAAAATTTAGAATTTCACATTTCCTTTAAGAAGTAAGAATTTGAATTTTTTTTTTATTTTTTTCTCCTATCCCTCTTCTTTCTTTTATGAAATGTTTGGTACGTAAAATATTTTTATATTATTAAAAATCTTAAAGTGAAAATCTCAAAGTCAACATAAAAGATGTTAATAATTTTGTTAATTATTGAATATTTAAAATTATTTTTAAAATTATTAAATATTTAAAGTTTGCTAATATTTAAATTTATAAAATTTAATCTTAAAAGTTTAACATATATATATATAATCAATTTTATTCATAATGAGAATTAAATTTTCTCTATCTAAATTAAAATTTTCAAATTTTAAAAAATTAAATTAACTTGTTTAAATAAAATATTTAAAAATAATGAGAATCAAAATAATTCAAATTTTAAATTTTTTTTTATCCAAATACATTCTGATTTTGTTTGAAATGTGATGTCAAATTTCCTTATATCAATAATTGGTCACCCATTAATATAAAAAAATATTATCATTGTTTAACTTCATATATTTTCTTTTGAAAAATTTATATGAATAATGATTAGAGACAAAACAAGAAGTGAGAGCACTTAACTAGAATTTATGCTCTAACTTGTATTTCACTCAAACAAAATTGTTTTAGAAGATAAATCATGTAAAAATTTTGGTTAATGTCTATTTAGTTAAAAATATCATATTTTAAGTCATTTAAAAACTTATTTAAACCTAGTAACTCAAGCTGTTTAAATAAAAATAAATAAACATTTATTATTGCTATTGTTATTAAATTAATTTTATTATAATATATTAAAATTATACATTTATTTATTTTTTAAATATTAATCATGTTAGCTAATATAAAGAATCAAACTTATGGGTTAATTAACAGATAAATTTATATTTTACTTAAAAGTTTTATTACAAAATATATTTTTAAATAAGTTAT